GTTACTCATTGATTTTGGAAAATGTAAGTACTAACTATCTTTTGCAAGATTCAGCAAGTTATTAGAGAGAAGCCTTTAGTACTTGCTCTTCCTCTTCTCCACATGTGCTCACTTAGGCATGTATGGAAACCAATATATGAATTTTTTTTGTGCTTTTATGCTAATTTTTGTGTCACAGCTAATTTTTGTTTTCTCAATCTTCTCAAAGGCTGTTGCTGATGTGGAAAGAGCAATAGTTAAAGCTTTGGAGAAGCAATACAATGACATCTTGACTCCTTTGAAAGACAGCATTCCAAAGAGGCTTAATATGCATGTCCAAAAGCTGACAAGAAGACAATCAACAACACTTTATTCTGTACCTAATCAAGTGAGTGGTGCAAACATGAACATCCACACAAACACAGATGTTTTGCACTCCATTGTGTCCAAGTACAACTCACCAATATTTTCTTGTGGCAGTTGGGAATTTTTCTGAATACAATCAAGAGAATCCTTGATGTCTTACATTGTAGAGTGGAGGACATTTTTAAGTCCTGGGCTTCCTATCTACCTCTCATGGGTGATAAAAAGTCAATTTGTGGGGAGCAGATGAATGGAATTACTGTTCTATTGAGAACAAAACACAAAAATTACATGCAGGCAACAGTGGAGAAGCTAGTTAACAATGTAAGCTTCAATCCATTATCTGAGTTCCATTGTATCAGTGGTAGTTGTAAATCTAAAAAGCTAATTTCCTTGAGATGATCAGTAATGCTGGTCATTTATTCAATAGTCAATAGTCAATTTGCTATCAAGGGATTGATTCTGTGCCTGATCATTAGGTAACATTGCATTTAAAGAAGAGAAAAAAATATGAAAGAACGGTACTAGAGAAAATCATTCAGCTTTATATAGCAGCTGTTGAATATTGATCATGCTGCAATGTTCCTTATCTTGTTGAAATAGGGTGTTAAAATTTGAGGATATGTTGTGTATTATTCCTGAATACTATGGAATTTTGCATGCTCATAATATACTACTAGTTGATGAGAATTTACTTGGTTAATCTTCATATACTATGGATCCTTCTTCCTCTTGCCATGGTGTTGGTGTTTTTAGAATGCAAAAGGGGAAACTGTAACATGAATGAAATCACAATTCTTCCAGGTGCAAGCTAGTCGAAGCACACGACTAAAAAGAATTTTGGAGGACATAAGGGAAGAAGATGGAGAGGCAGAGGTCCGTGAAAGAATGCAGATTCTAAGTTCACAGCTCATTGATTGTATATCCAATTTGCATGATGTTTTTGCTAGCCGGATATTTGTCGCTACATGTCGTGGATTCTGGGATAGGATGGGAGAGGTAGAGTAAAATTTTTATCTGAATTCCGCACTTCACTGGGGTTATTTTATTTCTATCCGCTATCCTGATGCTTTAACTGTGTAATGTTCTAGATCGTTTTGAAGTTTCTTGAGAGCAGGAAGGAAAACAAAGTGTGGTATAATGGTTCCTGCTATGCACTTGGGGTAGGTCTTGGAGTTCATTTCTGGGCATTTCATGATTTGTCAATTCTGACCATCTCACATGCTAGTTTTCTTCATGGTTTTCTTTTGCAGATACTGGATGACACATTTGCTTCGCAAATGCAGCGACTGCTAGGAAACTCACTTCAAGAGAAGGATCTAGAGCCCCCTCGCTCTGTAATTGAAGCTCGATCTATTCTTTGCAGAGACACAGCGAATGCAACAGAGACATCTACCTACTTCTATGTTTAGCGGTTGAAACATCTGTACAGCAGCAGCAGCAGGGCAACAAACCTTTCAATGTCAGTTTTTGTGGTGATCTTATATTCAAGTACTGTGGTTTACCTTAAACTATACAGAGACCACACAAGTCGGCATGCAAGTGCATATTCTTTTGTTCGTTAGTAACTTGAGCTATATCCCCAGATAGGTTGTATATCTTTTTTGCTTGATAAAGGCAATAGAATTCCTCACGTCCATGCTTTTCATTTGTTTTCTTCCCTCCCCTCCTCCACCAGCAGGGCCAAACCAGAAGTAGTGGATGCAGTGAAGTGAGATTGCTGCTATCTGTGTGTTTTCTTGGATACTTTTATACCTTTTCTAAGAAAAAATATTTGCACGGATCAATTGGAATCATCTGTTTAAAAATGATATGCATAAACAAATAATATTAAAAATAATGTTAATACTAATTAAAAATAAAACTTAAAAGACAAAATAAATAAAGATATTCTATCTTATTTCACGTAACCCTTTTAATATTTTTTACTTCATTATATGGTAATTAATTAATTTATTTTTTGTAAGAAGTGTAGTATATCTTTTGAAACAAAATAATTTATTAGTATAATTTCTTCTTTCCTAATTTTTTTTCCTACAAAGAAATATAACTCTTTTGTTTCGTGTTCTTTACTTAATGAATAAAAAAAAGCAATATGAACAAATGTAAAAAACACTCGGGCATGAGAAATATATCCCTTTATCTAAAATCTTTTTATCTTACCAACTGTCTCTATTTTTTACTTGGTTTTTTTTATTGGAATATTGATTTTTAGACAAATTCTGATAATTTGAAAACAACTTGCGTGCTATCTAGAGAAAATTCATCGCAACATCATCAAAATTATTGGCTTCAAAAGGTAAACTTAGAGGACTTTAACCCAACTTCTTGTTTAACTAGATTTTGAATTGAGTTAGATGATAATAGCCTGATTAATTTTACAAATTTAATTATAATTATGTTAAAAGTCGGTTTGATTTCAAGAAAAAATATTTTTCAAGATAAAGTTATTTTTATATAATAAAATAATAATATTTAAGTTAATTTAAATTAACCAACTAAATTTTCAATTCGATCATAAATTTGATTTGATTAATAATATATTTTTTTTAAATTTATCTCTTACTTAATTATATAAAAATAAAAATTGACATGTGCAGAGGGAAAAAAAATCATTGCAAAGGGCTGAAAAAAAAAACATTTGCTAATGTTATAAAAGGAATGTTATAACCATATTTGAAAACAAACAAAAAATCTAATAGTATTTTCTCAAATAATATATACAAAAAGACTTCTGATTATATATATATATATATATATATATATATATAATTTTAAAAAATAAAAGTTCTACTAGAATTCGATTGAATGAATATATTGAATTCTTAAGTATCTAAAACTTAGAATTTTATTCTGACCTACAAATGATCAAGACAAATATAAATCGAATTTGACAAGATAACCCAACAATTAAGGTACGTGGGCAAGTTGCGGCAATTAATTTTGAATGCTTTGTTTCTTTTACTTACTCCCAAAAAAAAAAAAAGTAAAAACATTGTGCGCTTACAATCAATTGACTTTGTGTAAGAGGTGTTTTGTCTTTTTCACATGAGATATTCATGGTTAAAGAGTATTTTTTAAGCATAATAAAATATCCAATTGTTCTAGGATTTTTTTTTTATATAAAACAATAAAAAAAGTACAAATATCTTTTTATTAACAATGTACAATAAATTAAGTATGCTCTTAGAATAAAACTTAAATTTAGGGGTGTATTGGTCTTTTCTTTTAGGATTTTCTTTTGTAATTACTAGGGTAATTAAATAAATTTTTATCTTTTAGTATCAATTAAATATTAATTAATTTGAAAAAGTTGGTAGCATATGCACGGTATGTGCCAATACGTGGGAAGCATTCATGCATTTTGAATGAAAAATGTCACACCTTTCGGTTAAAGAAAATATTTTTTTTGTTATGTCGTTAAATGCATCACCAAGTCCCCTTTCTCTTGATGCAATGTCGATGGCAATAGAATAGTTTGTCATCAATTAATTTTTTTTTCTTTCTTTTTTTTTCTTTATCGGTATGGTATCAATAGCGATTGGGCAATTTGTTCTCTTTGATATTAATATTTCAACTTTAATACTTATTCTTTTAATTTTTAATTTTTTTAGTGCTTTTGTTAAATTTTTATTTATTTTCAATTTAATCCTTCAATTCTAATTTATCATATATAATTTTTTAAAATTTTATCATTCTTCTTTTAACTTTTAATTTTTTTATTGGGTTTTTTGTAAAAATTTTGATGGTTTTCGATTTCATCCTTTGATTCAAATTTATGCTGAATTGTTTTTTTTTTTTTAAATTAGTTATCGTTCTTTTAATTTTTATTCTTTTTTTAATTTTTTTATTTTCAATTTAACCCTCCATTAAAAAATTTGTTTTAACCTAAATTATTTTTTATTTCAATTTTAACTCTCATTCTTTTAATTGTTATTTTGTTTTTATCTTAGATTCTTTTGCATAATTTTTGTTTTGATTTTATCCTTTAATATTTAATTAGTTAAGTATTAGATTCCTTAGGTTTTTCATGTTTAATACTTCTAATATAATAATTAAGATGACAAGCTTGAAAAGTTAATACAAGTAAATTTCATCTTTTTTTTTTTAGATATTTTCTTTGATTTCTTTTCTATTAACTTGTTCGAATTTTATAACTTGAATAACATATTTTGTAAATTAACTTAATTTGATTCACCTTTTATTATTCAAATTTTATTATTCAAATTACATGTTTGTTTATCATATCAGCTTTAATTATTTTCTAAACTCGCAAAAGATTTTTTTGATCCTATTTTATCAAGCTATTTAACTAGTTGTGTCTTTATCATTGAAATTTCACTATTTTCTTATGTTACATGCCATGGACATTTACTTTTAAACTCGAGTCTACAAGATCAGCCTCAATCTCCACTGTTTGCTGAAACATATAATTTGATAAAAACAGCAGGCATCATTTACTTTTAATCCTCAAATTGAGGACACCATTAATCTTTCAGTCATCAGTACAACACTGAATCTAACACTAATTATTGTACATTGGTAATTAATTAATCAAATTGCGGGACACTTAACCACACACCAAAATATCATGGGCGGAGCTGCAGCTCTCCGACCAGCCTTCAAGTACCAAAATTGAAAGAACTCCACAAGATTAAAGGGCTTAAAAAGCGAGAAGCATGTCAATTAACCAGCTCTTCTAAGGCTTTCATTACATAGCCTGCTTAACAAACAGCATTTTTGCCGAAACCAATTTCTTCCACAGCATTTTTGCACGACTAAGCAACAAACATCAGTGGAATTACTTGCAATTTTCCAGTAAAAGTTTAGAATAGATTAGCTGTGCAATGATATATTCCAAACCAGATGCAGAGATCTAATATAGTTCTATTCAACAGAAGGGGGGGGATAAAGGGAATAAAGATGAATCATGGATCTAGTTTTAATGGACCTGCATAAGAGCTTAGTATTTCCTGGAGCCATGCAGCTACAAGTCCTCACTCTTCCGATCAAGCCAACAAAGAAAGGAGACATAAAGCAGCATGTCATCGCCACACAAAATATAGCAGAACACAGCACTGGCATTACTCAATTGCAGCAATACTTTTTTGGTTAATAGTGCTACTAGGGAGACATTCTGTAGCATCATCTGAAGAAAAGCTATTTTACCTACTTCACTCACATGGTAGTGGAGGAATCAACATAATCAGGCACCACTCAAGTTCCTTTCCCTTGTTGTATTTGCTGAAGAAGAGCTGCTGCGAGCTGTAATGTTGCTTGCAGACGCTTTTGTGGATCTCCATCTGCTTCTTCCTGTGTGCCAGCACTTTGCATCCGTTGATTACCCTGAGCCCCTGGCTGAAGATCTTTTCTAACTGGGGGTGGCACTGAAGTAGGCACATTTGATACCTGCTGCTGTTGCATCTGTTGCAATTGACTAAACTGAGATGTCGGGATCTCAGAGCCCACCTGATTTTTGTGCAAACCATGTGCCTGTGCTATTCCAACTTGGTTGTCAGACTGATTCACTGTCGGCTTAAAATCCTCACTAGCAGATCCATTTGAATTATTACCCGATACCCTCTGCTGCCCTAGAAGAGATGATGCTAATTGTGCAAGTTGTTGTGGTTGCAAACCTGCAATAGGCAAAGACACTGGAACAGAAGGCTTGGTTTCCTGAAAGGTCGACTTGCTGTTTCCAGACAATGGATTGGTTGACATTCCACTTGCAAAATGTGTGGGGCCATTTTCTTGCACTGTCCTTGGAAGGACTGGGTGATGATCTGGAATAACAGGATCAACAGCAGTATTGGCTGCTTGTGACGGTACATTTCTATTACCAGAAACAATGCTCTGCGAATGGTGAGGAGACCAGTTGGGCCTCAATGTGGAGTTCTGCTGTTGGAGATGATAATGATGCCTATTCTCATTGTAGGAATCAGATATACTTCCAGCAGGATGGGCCGGACCAGAAAATGCCACAGGTGGAGCTGTTGAAGCCACATTCCCCAGGAAAGCTGGATCACCTCCTGATCTACTCAAATCTGAAAAGGACACCATTGCAGGAAACTGACCTGAATGTGTTGGTGGCTTTGGATACGATGGATCCCTGTGAAATGGCAGTATGTTCATATCCCTTTTTTCGTTTGGATGGTGAAGAGGCCCAAGATTTGAACCAGAATTCTCTAATCTCAAAATAACACCAGATATGCTCAATTTGCCAGGTACTCTCAGTACTTTCTCTGAGAAATCAGATGGAGGTACAAGAAACAAGGTGGTCTTATCATCCAATTTAGCAACTGCTGCACGCTGCTTCTCCTCCAGATAGTGCATGAGTTCATTGTAGTATCCCATATCTGCATCACTAGCAGGGACAAAGAACACAACCCAAGCAGAAGCTGCTTGATAGTAGTGTTTTGCAAGCATGTCTAGACCAGTTCTTGCAGTGCAATCCAGGAAATCAGGCCTGTAGAATCAATGTTAATGTTAAAAAGTAAATCCGAACACTAGTTCACTGAGCAGGTGAAAAAATAGCTGAGCTACATGATGAAATTGTCAATTATCACAAAAGTGCATTTTGTTTCCCCACAAAAACTGCACGTGTATAGTTTTAGAACATCTCGTATCTCGTGGAGATATATTATCTTTACATTAAGTTTTGAAAAGAGTCATGTAACAAATATATTGAAACATCAATATGACGAATTGCACCATCAGATTAAGTTCATAGTCAGATAATATCCATGAAAATAATTTGATATCAGGAAAAATTCTGCCTCGTACGTTTCAAAATCTGCCTAGTAGCACATTACAGTAGTTGAACCAAATCTGGTTGGGTAGAAAAAAACAACATTTTGATTTTTTTACTGTGGGCTCATATATCAATAACTGAAAATTATGAGACAAGGACAGATGATTTCAAGACTTAAAGATGTCCTTTCAAGACTTAAAGATGCATTGTAATTTGCATCATAATCACTACAAATAGAACAAGCGGACAAGAAGGAAGTAGCCACTTAGCTGATATCAAAGCTAATCTGTGCACAAGTGAAAGCATGAAGAGAAGGGTTATTTACTACTTACAACATAAAGTCTAGCGCTTTTCCCACGGGAAAGCAGCGAGCATGACAGACAGGAGTGCCTCCCTTTGCTATAGTCCCTTCCCATTTCCATAACTTCAAAGAGGATGGTTCTGGTTCAGGGGTGAATCTTTTCCTCTCAGCACGATTTGCAGGCAGAGAACCAGAGCCAGCCTGGAAATTGTCATAAGATACTTTCCAGGGGTCATTCCTTTCTCCATGAGGAAGTGATAAATTGATTGGCCGGTCTTGGATTGGTGTGTATCCAAAAGGTCCAGCCTCCAAGTTCTTATCAAATGCCTCTGGTTGGGGAAAATCAGAAAATGCCCTAGGGAAAGCTCTTCTTTCCTGTTCTAAATCAGAGTAAGGATACTCTGGAAGTTCCTTGTCAGGAGGAAAGGAGCCTGTCTTCAACTTCTTGGCTTCATGATACAGATAGGAATCTTCTGGTAAATCCCATGGTTCTTCATAAAAAGGACCTTTCTGAGGGTTCTTTTTAACAAATTCATGGAAGTGGGCATCCCTCCCTCTTGTAGGACTACCAAGTCGTTCATACACATCTGGTGGTGGTCCTAGTTCTTCTCCAAACCTCCAGTTATCAAATGCACCGTTTCCAACATGGTGCAAGGTTCCCTTCCTGTTAAGGCCATAGACATCAGAACCCGCAGGATCCAAATCTGAGTTGAAATGAGGAGATCTGATACTGGGATCTGCAGTCCCAAAATCCCTATCCTGCCGGAAGTTCTCAGGGCCTCCTTGGCGACTGTTTGGCTTGTAATGCGGAGAGAGTGGGGTCCTTCCACTATTTGAAGACCCAGCTTCATTCTTGGCAAAACAAATATGCACACGAGGGTTGCCAAATAATTTCCCCTGAAGAGTTTCTTTTGCCCTGCAAGCTGATGTTAGATTTGTGAACCTCACAAAAGCATAACTACGACCTGGAAATACAGTGATCTTTTCAATCTCACCAAATGGTGAAAAAGCCTTCCGTAAGATCATTTCATCCACCTTTAGTAAAGCTGGAAAACCTATCCATAATACCTCACTAGGTTCTGCACTACTATCGCTCATCTTGGATTTATCAGGGTAAAAAGTTTCAGGGCTAGCATTACGCGCTCTAGAGTCCCTCTGCAAGAAAGGGGATCCCCTTAATGTAAGGCGTTGTTCATCTCGCCGTTGCAAGTAATCTTCATCATGTGATGGTGTTGATGACTTGTCCTGAGATAAGAATCTCATCAAGATGTGTTGGAACCAGTCCTTTCTTTAACTAGTCATGTTTTTTTAATTTCCAGTTGGAATTCAAGAAAAAGTAAATTGATAGGTTTAAAGCAACTAAGCTTTCATGAATTAATCATCAAAATGCATCATCGGAAAAAGTGAAGAGCAAGAAATGAGAACAATATACTCGTCCATAATTAATCTTTATGAGATCCACAGACACCCATCTATCCCAGAAAACGTAATCTGATCAAAAGAATTCTAGCATCAGGAGATGGGTCTCGGATGATTGACAAGCAAAACCAATTTTCATAAACATCAGATACGTAATTGATTTAGGGAAGAAGCTAACAAGTTATTGAAAGACTAACCTCCTGGACTCATTCTGCAACCTTGGTAAACCCAATTCTTTTTTATACTCACAAGAAGTTAACTGCTACGAGGATGAGTAATGCGAGCAGACAAATATGCGGTGAGAGATTACAGTTACCCGCTATAATGTTCTGCTAGACTTTTGGTTAATATCACATCATAATTGCTGTTGGGCTACCCTGGGAATCGAATTTTACTCGGTTAAATGAGGAATGGTTCGCAGTTTGTCACTTTACCAAAATCATGAAACATGCAACCCCTTGAGCCTGGGCATTTTAAACAAAGCAAACTCCACTGCCTTGTGCAGACTCACACAGATTGTTCTCAATATAGGTCGAAAAGCTGCCACAGAGTTGCCCAGAGCATGACTGTTATTAATTGATGTGAATTTGAACGCCCCATGTGAGAATTTTTATTTATTTATTTATTTATTTATTATTATTTGTTATCTTACCGCCTAAAAACCTGTCTTATGAAGGCCGTGCATGAAAATTGCAAACTGGGATAAATCCATGAGACTTCCCCATGTATTAGTGCAAGACAATGTGAATGTTTCATTAGATTCTGCTTCCCTCATGTTATCTTATTTTCAAGTATTTGGCAAGGCCATCGAATAAATTTTTTCTTTTGATTGTTGCTGTTCAGCCTGCTCTAGCTGTTGTAATAGACATCTGGAGAGAAGAAGAGGAATGGACTTGGAGGATTGAGTGCACAACCATTAATTGTTATTGAATCACCGAATTCATATGTTCTTAATCCCAATTTCAGAAATTTTAACTTCACCATCCTCCCTGAAGCATTAATAAAGGTGTTTTAAGAAGACTGGTCTCCAAATATCATGTTCATATTACCAGATCCAGCAAGCACAGAACTCAAAATTGGATGGCTGTCAGCTTGGACTAAAGGTTTGCTATATCTGCAAAGACCCTCATGTGCAGGTGAAAAGCTACAAAGCTGGTTTTATAGTTGATAACTAACAGTGTGGAAGATCCCCTGATGCCAAATGAAAAACGAGCTCAATGATCTTCTAGGATGGTATACTTTCAACTCCAGATAAGCATGTGAAAATGGTGGATTGGAAAAGCAAAGACTCTTTTTAACTGACATGAAACTCATTAGCCATGTGTTATGATGTCATTGAATTAATATAACAATTTATGGATATCAATTATCAGAAGCGCGATGATTAATAGACAATGTATTTGTGCTTTAATTGAATACAGGATCCCACTTCAAGCCACAACAATGAGGCATGAAAATTGGAATGGAACCTTATCTGCTAGTGATGGAAAGCTGCAGAGATATGTGCAAAGTGGAACATTCTTTGTTTGTAATTGTGCCTGGTGGTTCCTTCCTTATTGTTTGTCTTATGGTACTACCTCTCTCTGTGTTTGGAGAATTTTTTTCACCTTATTTATCATATCTTTCTTCCAGCCATGAATTTTTCTTCTTCTTCTTTTTTGTAAGAAAAACTACAAATCCTAAGCCTCTGCCCATCAATTTTAAGAGTGATCATGGAGCAACTCAAGCCTTACTTACATCTAATCTAATTTAAACAGCTTTGTTAGGATCGTGAAAACTAATTAATCTGGAGGAGGAGTTTAGTCGTTCTTAATTAGACCATGAGAACAACCCACTTAGCATAAATACAAAAGCAGAGCAGAATTCCAAGGAATCTGAAATCTAGAAAATAAAAAGGAGAACAAAAGTGGCAAAAACTAACCGCCTTAGCAAACTCAATCCTAAGAGGGTTGCCGGCGAGAGGATAACCCTGGAGAGACTTGATGGCCGCAATCGCATCCTCTTCCTTGTTAAAATTAACAAAAGCATAGCTGCGTCCCGGCTGGAATGCAACGCTATCCAGGTCTCCGAATTGCAGGAATTCATCTGTCAAATCGGCCTCTACTATACTGTGAGATAAATTCCCCACCCATAGATGCCTCGACGGCGGGTTATTCCCTCTCTTACTGTTACCACTACTCGATTCGAATCGAGAAGAAGAAAATTCTCTTCGAAATCGGTCTCTGCCTACTCCTCCGGGAACTCCTCCTCCTCTACTAGTCTACAAAACAGTATAAATTAGTGAGCAATAGTGATCAAAAGGAGTCTGATTCTGTGATCGACGCTGGCGATAAAAGATGAACTGACCATGCTGGCGGTGGTGGTGGCGGCGGCGGCGGTCGCGGCGGTGGATATGAGGTCTGGGAACTGGAATATTGAGATAACCAACAATCAGTCACGCATCGAGAGGGTTCCCTATGCCTCTAAATTTATATGTATTATTTGGGGTTCGTAAATCAGAAAGGTTCTTGCTCTTCTATTTTTTAGCTGTCAAACAATTACACCACCGCCACAAAATCGTAAGCTTTTTACTTTTATTTCACGATGACGTGCTGAAGTGCTGACGTGCTACGTGGCAACCTGTCACTCCACCTCTTATCTTTAAACCATAATAAATCTACTAATAATTTATATCTCTGGGCTAAATCTATTTTTATTTTATTTATTTTTTCAATTTCATAAAAAATAATTTTGAAAATGAAATATTTTTAAACCATTTTTATGAAAAAGTAAAAATCAGTTAAAATTGAGTATATATACATTTATAGCATGTCTAATTAAAAAAATAACCTTATTGGTTATTCAAATTAATAAATATAAAAAAATTAATGACATAAAATAAAAATTATTTTTCAAATATAAACATACCTGGATGTGTATATTTGTAACGCTAATGATAACTTTCTTAATTTCCACATCCACCCTAACAACCTTTCTAATTGACATTACTGCTATCATAACCACTTTTGTTAATACTACCATAATAATAACATCAAGTATAGATGACTTTTGTTTTGCCTTTGTCATCTTCCGTTACACCGCTAGTGCTACCATTTTGACATGCAAAAATTATCGTTGATATTATAAAAACACAAAAAAAAAAAAAACTCAATAAAATTTGGTTGAATGCTAGTATTTGAGAAGTTATTAGCATTAGCTTGCAAAGTTTCTAAAAAAATTTCCTCATGGATATTTAATATTATTTTTATTGAAATTTTTTAAAATAAATATTATAAAATTAATAAAATCCTAGATTTTATTATAATAATTTATCCTCAGTAATTATTATGATGAATTTCGATACATTCATAAACGATCATCCATGACTTCTATAGAACCTCTATAAAATAATAATGACAAAACATGTATTAATTAACTGTGTTAAATAAATAAATTTACATAAATATTAGTTTAACTTGAGAATATCCAACAAACTAATTAAAACTTCTTAAATATTCATTATTAATTATCAATATCCATACAAATTTATATACATAAATTTACAAAAATTACAATTCTGCAATGGCGTTGATAATAAATTAAAACGGACCCGTAAGACAAGTTATTATTTATTTCATCACAACACTTCTATATCGGTAATTCGACATAAGTTTCAATAATTTACAAACAAATATAATTTTATAAAATTTAAAACAAACCATAACAAGTACAATATTATACATTCATCCTACAAGTTTGTTTGAGAAAAAAATAATAAAACATGTACATACACTAACAAAATACATAATACTAAAAAACTAAATAATAATAAAATTGATATTTTAATATTCAAATTAAAAAAAATTACTTATAAAAAATAACAAAATTCATAATAAATCAAAATATAACTATAAAAATTAAAAAAAAATGACTTGTATTGAAAAAACAAGAAATAGTTTAAAGAGTGGGGCAGCTTCTTTAGATGCAAGGGTGGCTGACCACCACCTAGATGGTTGGTGGGGCAGCTTCTTTAGATGCAAGGGTGGGTGTTTGTAGTTGAGAGGTGATGCAGCTTTAGATACAAGGTGGGGGAAGAAAAAGAAAAAATAGAGAAGAGGGGGTAAGTGCAGCAGCGTAGTGATATATTCATTTTTATTAATGAAATCACTGATAAAATATTTTTGTTAGTGATTCTATTAGTGCTTTTGTTAATGAAAGAGTAATATTATTGTATAGAGATTCCGGTTTAAATTCTTTTGTAATTCTGCTAGTAAAATCATTCATAAAAACTTTTACATCATCAACCTGTTTTTTTTTAAAAAAAAATTTAAATAGTCCCTCGATAATTCTGTTGGTTTTTTTAAAAAATTAAATAGTCCCTCGATAATTCTGTTGGTATATACCGATATAATTAATCTGTCAGTATATACCAATAAAATTATCAAGAGATTTATATATGTTAGTAAATATCACTATAAACTACTAACAAAACTTTTTTTTAATTAAATCCGTTGATTTTAGTTGAATTTCTAGTAATGTATAATCATTTTTTAACACAATGACTCTCTTTTTTTTTGTCTTTAAGTTATAAATGAGATATATTTTTAAAATTTAATAATTAATCTTGTTTTACTTTGTTTATAAGCCAAATTTTTTTATAAAAATATGAATATACCACACATAAAAGGTGAAGAATTGGTTAAAAACAAGAAAAAGAGGGGAAGAAAAGTCCAAACCATCTACAGGATCATCTCCAACAAAAAGAAACACACAAACATGAAGATTAGAGAAAAAAATAATTCACTATGCTCTCCCAACACTAGCTCCTCCATTGAAGACCAGCGTTGGTTCTCCAACAAGGGTGGCGGCTCCTCATCAACACTGTAGGCAACAACCATAAGAATGTCATCTCCTAAAATCCAGTGGTGTAGCTTCTTCTCCTCCAGCGGTGCAACTTCTTCTTCCACAGGCACGGTGAGCTGTAGAAAGCAGTAGCAGCACTTCCTTCTTCTGCACCAGTGACAACCACACCCAGATGCCTTCAACCACCATGCAGTTCCATTCTTCCACCCTCACCACTAAACTAGTTGTCAGCCAACATTAGCCATTAATATTTCCTTCCAAAACTATCATCTCCCCTCATCAAAGCAACCTTCTCCAGCAGACTACTAGTTTTGTTTCAATCACAGTAACTTCAGCTCCTGTTTCAGCAAAGAACAGCCTCCATAGAAAAAGTTTTTCTTCATCAGCCATAGCCAGCTCTTCTTAACTTCACTGTAAGCAGCAACAGCCATGGCCAGTTTCATTTCTGCACCATGAACAACATTAACCCAACAACTAACCCTCCATTAGCCCAACCGCGCCAATAACACCATCAGCTCTCATCCTAGATCCACAGCTCCTTTACTCTTTATTTTCCTATGCAAGACTGGCTCCAGTCAGCAAGTTATCTGCATTGTTTGCGGTAATTCCTCAGCTGTCCAAGGTCACTGCGAGCTGCAGCAAATTTCAGTAGATCCTCTGTTGTCCAAGGCCAACACCTTGAGTAGCAGTAGACCACCACTTTCAGTCCAAAATCCATGCACATGAGTCATGGTCGAAGGACATGCGTTGTTTTAGAAATGGAAGTTTGTTAACCCTCATCATGTGAACCTCTCTCTTGCTTGCTTCCGGTATTTCGCATGTTACTAAAAAAGGTAAACCTGTTTCTCTCTTTCTTTTCTCTTTCTATGTATACCCATAACTATTGTCTCTGGTTCTTGAGAATATGAAGAAATTCTAGATTTTTCATTTTGCAAGCTATCCATTAATTAACATCTATAATAAGGGCCTTTCCAATTCGTTTATAATAAAAGAATCTGGGCCATTGTTTTTAAACCCTGCGTAGTCTTATTCAAGTCTGCTTACTTCCCAGCCCCCATCACATGACTGAGCCTTAATTTAATTTTAATAATTTTTAAAAAATATTTTACAATTAATTTTAAATTCTTTAACTTTTTCACCCCTCATGTTTAATATCTGGAATATCTGGAATGATGACTTATAGTGAGGTAATTCTTTTATATTAAATGAATTAGTTTTCTTTCAAAATAAAATAAAAAATAATTTTTTTTAAATAATACGATTTCATTTTTTATTGCATAACATCAAATCTCTCAAATATATATATATATATATAT